CAAACATACTTAGTATATAATGGCAAGTGAGGACAGTCATCAGCTACAAACATACTTAGTATATAATGGCAAATGAGGACAGTCATCAGCTACAAACATACTTAGTATATAATGGCAAATGAGGACAGTCATCAGCTACAAACATACTTAGTATATAATGGCAAGTGAGGACAGCCATCAGCTACAAACATACTTAGTATATAATGGCAAATGAGGACAGTCATCAGCTACAAACATACTTAGCATATAATGGCAAATGAGGACAGTCGTCAGCTACAAACATACTTAGTATATAATGGCAAATGAGGACAGTCATCAGCTACAAACATACTTAGCATATAATGGCAAGTGAGGACAGCCATCAACTACAAACATACTTAGCATATAATGGCAAGTGAGGACAGCCATCAGCTACAAACATACTTAGCATATAATGGCAAGTGAGGACAGTCATCAGCTACAAACATACTTAGTATATAATGGCAAATGAGGACAGCCATCAGCTACAAACATACTTAGCATATAATGGCAAGTGAGGACAGTCATCAGCTACAAACATACTTAGCATATAATGGCAAATGAAAAATATGAAAATATCTAATCTTATTGCCCTGTCCTTGAGTTGTTTACTGTGCTCTGTTCCTTGTGATATCTTCATTTGTCCTGTGCACTGAAGAAGGCACTACGCCGAAACGTCCCAATCGTATTGCTCTGTCCTCAAATTCAAGCTCCCACAGACCTCCTTTTGCTAGTCGGCACCATAAACATTGGAATGTTGGAATGTCATTTGAGATGAACTCATGCCATGGGCATTCCCCCACCCCTAATTTATTTTACGGCTTTATTCGCGTGTGGGGGGGGGTATGACGTCACAGCAGACGCCTATATCATTTCACCGTTAATTCCGTGACAAAACTGTTTAGCAATTCTATAAATAGCTCCAAATCTTGACACCCACTCCTACGATTATGTCGTTATGTCAGGTGATTTTTTTTTTGGGGGGGGGGGGGAAAGGGTGCCTAGTTCTTTAGGTCAGTTTCTGGACATCCTAGCAGAACAAAAACCCAACTGCATTTGTGTCCAGCATTTTGGATCTGACAAATCTTGACACCCACTCCTACGATTATGTCGTTATGTCAGGTGATTTTTTTTTTGGGGGGGGGGGGGCAAAGGGGGCCTAGTTTTTTAGGTCAGTTTCTGGACATCCTAGCAGAACAAAAACCCAACTGCATTTGTGTCCAGCATTTTGGATCTGTCACATCTGTCACACCAGTCACATCTGTCACATGTGGCCGGTGGTCCATTCGAGGGTATACACGGACATTGGTCAAGAAATGCATATTCTCTGCACGTTTGAGAACCAGTTTTGAACCGCGTGTACTTTTAACTGAATGAGGTCGGAATCAACAGGCCAGCAATAGTAGGGAATGAGTAGACGAACTCAGCGTCCGTCTGACATGAGGAAACTATAGCTGGCTCTTAGGCATTGTTTTATTGTGTACGAGTGGGGGTGGGAGTGGGTGGGAGTGGGTAAGTGTGGATGTGGGAAACTTGTATGTGAGGGGGTGGGTGGGTGTGGACGTGCGTGGATGTGTGAGAGTTGGGCTGTGTAAGGGTGGTTGTGGCTGTGTGTAAGGGGGGGGTGTTTCTAGAAAAGGGGGGGGGGGTGTTTCTAGGTGGGGGAGTGGTTGTGTAAGATTATATTTGTGTGTTTGTGTGTGTGTGCGTGTAACTGCGTGTGCATTTAGCCTGCTGTTGAACTCAATAATTAGTTCAACAAAATAAGTTTAGGACTGTATACACATTCATATATATATTCTGAAGAACTCCATAAGGTCATTGTAGCACTAGGTTCAGAGCAGGAAGCCAAATGAAGTAAATACATTTCAAATCACAGAATCCAACTTTTTCATGTATCCAGTATAATTAAAGGTGCTATTCTACTCATAGAGGTTTACGAAACAATTATTACAATAAATGCACATATTATTATCCCACATACTTCTGATTACCTTAATCAGGGTTCCTCAAACTGTGTCACGCTGGCCAGATCTGGCTCACCGAGGGTTCTCATTCCAGCCCGTCTGGACTGCCGTGCGAGAGCTGTGTAGAAGGGATGAATATAGGAACGGAGTTTGACCCTCTCAAAGCTGGCCGTGCTTCCCATTGAAAGATTATAAAGTTCATCTTGATGCAAATTTTTATTCATGTGGAATATTGTATTGTATTTTCAATCTTTTTGTTTGTTTGTCAGTGTGCCCAGGAATTCGTTCATAGTTTATTAAATGTGGCCGCATTTGTGTCTGCTCATTGGTGAACAGGCCCCTGATTAAATTTTGGGGGGACCACAACTTGAATGAGCAGTTCTTTTGTCCTACACTCCATCCATAGGATGAGACCCGCTGAGATAACCCAAACATCATATATCAAACAGTTGAGATAAATTCCGTTAACTTCACAAAAACAACCACAATATAGGACAAGGCACAAAATAGGACCACACACAAATTAGGACCACACACATATTAGGACCACACACATATTATGACCAAACACAAAATAGGACCGAACATAATGTAGGACCAAACACAACATAGGTCCAAAGCACAAAATAGGACATAACACAAAATAGGACCAAAAATAAAATAGTACCAAGCACACAAAACAGGACCAAACATAAATTAGGACCAAACAAAAATTAGGACCAAACACAATATAGAAAAATAGGACCAAACACAAAAACAGGACCAAAACCAATATAGGACCAAACACAACATGGACCAAACACAACATAGAATCAAATACAAAATAGGACCAAACAAAATATAGGACCAAGACCAATATAGGACCAAAAACATCATGGATCAAACACAACATAGAATCAAATACAAAATAGGACCAAACAAAATACAGGACCAAACAAAATATAGGACCAAACACAATATAGGACCAAACACAAAATAGGACCAATTGCTTAGTATTTAAACGTCATGAAGTTGAAGCTTTTATTACAAAAATGAAAATAATTTATTTGAAATATCTCGAACTAAATGTTTAAAACGGAAATACAAGTAAATTTTTTACACTAAAATACTGAGTTTTTTTTTAATAATACCTAATTACCAATACTTAAATAATTACTAAATATTTAGCTCAAAGTTTTATGGATGTTTATATCTGTTAGAACTTTCTGTCCAGTATATCTTTCCTCAAAATGACGTTGTCATCAGAACTTTCTATCCAGTAATTCTTTCCTCAATATGACGTTGTCATCAGAACTTTCTGTCCAGTATTAATTTTTTCCTCAATATGACGTTGTCATCAGAACTTTCTGTCCAGTAATTCTTTCCTCAATATGACGTTGTCATCAGAACTTTCTGTCCAGTACATCTTTCCCCAATAGACCTTTTCCTCTGAACTTTCGGTACGGTTATTACCAGACAATGTATTGCTTTAAAAATGTTATATTCCTCTGTTGTTCTTTGTTCTCCTTTCCCATTTCTTTGTTCTTCATTCTCTGTACATTTATGTTCTGCTATTGAAGGTTTTCACCCAAATCGTCCATTGTTTTGTTAGTTTTCCTTTATGCCCCCCTACCCCTTGTGCACTTTTGCATTTGCCGGCCCAACAATTTGGAACGCTCTTTCAGTCGCTCTCAGACACAGCCAGACACTGGAGTCCTTTAAAACCAATTTAAAAACACATCTATTTCGCAAACACCTTCTGGGGTGATGCTATCTACCATCTTTTTTCAGTTAATTTATATTGGCTTGTGTTGCTTATGGTTGAAATGGGATGAAAGACTTTGACTTGGTATGTGCTCGTATGTAGTTTTATATTGTTGCGTCTTTTTTTTAAATGTGGTAAAAAATTTTAGATTTGTTTTTATTTCTCTTTTTAATATGGTTGACTTTCTACCGCGTTTCGAGCTTTTGGGGATGAAGCGTGTTTTTCAAATAAACTTTATTATTGTTATCCATAGCTGGGACTGAATACATTCTAAAAATTCTTTACCCATAGCTGGTACTGAATACACCTTACTCTAATGTCTTTGTCCTTAGCTGGGCTGAATCCGCCTCACTCATGTGTCAGAGCTGAGACTTACACATCTTATTGATCAGAGTGTCTGGAAAATATCAATTTGTGTCTCATGTCAGTCTTTTATTATATTTTACGAAAATGGAGAGCACGGAATACACCAATAGTTAACGTAGGGAGTGAATGAGGTACAGAAAGAGTGAGAGTATTGAGTGAATGACGTAGAAACAGATGGGAATAGTCTAAAGTCTCCAACAATAGAATAGGTTTATGCCACACTTCTCCTGTTTCAAATGAGTCAAACAATCCCTATACATCAGACAAAGTCAAACCTCTCACAATCTTGACCAAATGTCTAGCATTCCTTGATTTCAGACAATCTTGACCAAATGTCTAGCATTCCTTGATTTCAGACAATCTTGTCCAAATGTCTAGCATTCCTCTACATCAGACAATCTTGTCCAAATGTCTAGCATTCCTCTACATCATACAATCTTGTCCAAATGTCTAACATTCCACTACATCAGACAATATTGTCCAAATGTCTAGCATTCCTCTACATCAGACAATCTTGTCCAAATGTCTAGCATTCCTTTACATCAGATAATCGTGACCAAATGTCTAGCATTCCTCTACATCAGACAATCTTGTCCAAATGTCTAGCATTCCTTTACATCAGACAATCGTGACCAAATGTCTAGCATTCCTCTACATCAGACAATATTGTCCAGATATCTAGCACTCCTCTACATCAGACAATAGTGTCCAAATACCGAGCACTCCTCTACACCAGACTATCCGGGCCAGACGTCTAGCAATTTCTCCAAGCCCAAATATGGCATGTGCCATGTGCACGACAATTATCGGAGCGTGGAACCGCGAGCCTTATTCTAATCCCCACTTAAAAGGGTCAATTATTGTTAGGCCGCTAGTCAAAACGCTAGCCACTCTTTAATCGCGTCATTAAGTGTAATCACGTCATTATTTAGGAACGTCAGCTATGGAAACACAAACACTTAGAAGTGTGCGTGACAAGTGGGCAGAGACTTAGAGGATAGCTGCGAGTACTTAAATTAAGAGTCGCCTTAGGAAGTGAGCATTTTCTGGTAGAACTTAGAAACAAGAGAGATAAAGGGACGCGAGGGATATAAAGCCTTTTCACCCCCAACAAAGTCTTCCGAGCTACGTGTTATTTTTCTGAAAATGAAGTCTTCGATGGGATACACTGTATTCGCGATTGTGTGCTTCGTTGAGACAATATATGGCGGTAATTTTTATTTTACAAATTATTATTATTATTTTAAGTTTACTTTACGCCATGTTAAACTAATTTTAATAATATTTGTTTGTTTTTAAAATTGGTGCTAACTTTTTTATTCTATTCCCAGACAAACTATTAGAGATAATTATTGTGTCAATAGCTTCTCTTTTTTTAATAAACTTCTATAGCTTTCATTTATTAGCATAAGCTGCAGCAATGTCATTTCTTTAAGATGTCAATCAAAACAGACATTATTTTAGTTGCTACTATATAGTTCCTTGTGTTACATACTATACAGTTCCTTGCATTATACAGTTGCCTTTATTACATACTACTTGTCTTATAATGCGCAGTTGCTTGGTTTTATCATTTCACTTGTTAATTAGTATTACACACAGTATTGATAGCTCACGAATCAATGGACGCTGCAACACGTCACATCTACTTGACAAGTTATTCGACAAGACTTTCATTCGACCAACGCGAGCTTCAAGAATACCAAATCGCGTTACATCCCCTCCTCGGGGTACGCCACCGCATATTTTTTTTTTTACGCCCATGAACCATATTAATATTTTTATGTCCCACCCCCTTTTACACCGCGCTTACACTGAGACGATGTCAATGTCCGTGCACCAAAAGGAAATAGTGCGCCCCAGCCGCACGAATGGCGTTTGAAAAGAGTCTCGTTTAGCCCAGTTGTTGAGACTTTTAGTGTTCGCGCTGTTGAATACGCCATTACAGAGTACTTTCGTTGATGCCTAATAAGTTTTATGGATTGATAGAATGTCAGGGACAAAGAATGAAGACTTAACGAAAGCAGGGATGCAAGTACTGCGCATATTGTTAATGTTTTTTAGTGCGTTCGTGACGCCCCACCCGCTCTCACCTCACTCCCCCCCCCAACCCAATCAGGGTCACTAAGGGGACAACAGTGTTAAAAAAGTAAGTAAAATGTAACACAGTGTAATTTTTACAGTAGATTTTTGAACAGATGTGTGTCGTCGCTATTCGGTTCAAAACTCCGGGGTTAACACTCCGGGGTTATCACTCCGGGTCAACACTCCGGGTCAACACTCCGGGTCAACACTCCGGGTTAACATTCCGGGTCATCACTTCGGGTCATCACTCCGGGTCATCACTCTGGGTCATCACTCCGGGTCAACACTCCTGGTCATCTTTTTGAGAGCTGAAAACTACTCTGACACAGCCCCGGGGGTCAACAGGTCTGATAGTGTCATCTCTTGTTTGTTCACAGCTCACGAGTTCTGCCACCGAGGTTTTCAGGTAGCCACCAAGTATCACCAGTGCTGGGACTCTGCCACATACGAGCACAAGTACACAGGCCTCTATGTCGCCCACAAGGACTACACGCCGGAGTTCCTTCAAGATTATGCCACCCATATGTGCAGGTACGAACCATAGAAACATTCCATTTTTTTAAAAACAGCATCCATTTGCTCTTCTGAATTATGATACTAATATGCCGTTGTTGTTGTTGCTGATTTTGATGGGAAATGATGACGAGGAGACGGCGGAGAGGGTTGGTTGTTGTTTTCTTAGTTTAAGGAAGACTGTATTTTTTTTTTTTTTTTTTTTTACTATTGGTTATAGTTACGGAGATGTTTTCCCCCCTTTAACCCAATTGGGATAAAGTTATGGAGACGATATTCCCTAATAGCAATAGTTACTGAGATTAAATTTCCTAATAGCTTTAGTTACGGAGATGTTATTCCCTATTGGCTGTAGTTAAAGACTTTTTATTCCCTAATGGCTTTATTTACGGAGATGGTATTGCCTACTAGCTATAGTTACGGAGAAGTTATTCCCAGCCAGAGTGAGAGCATATACTTCACATTATATTGTTATCTGGATCATCGTATTTGTAGCGATATCTTGATGCAGCGATTGTTTAAGTGGTGAATAGTTTTAATTTAACTGTATAGTGATCAATCTTATTATCCAAGTTTAAATGTTTACCATCGTTATGTACCAGCCCTTGTCGGCAAAGACTGGTCCCTAATTCGATGTCTGTCTCCACACTTTCTGAGTCAATCAGAAACATCCCGTTGAACTCTCACCTTTAAGAGGGGTGGGGGGGGGGCAAAACTTTGCCGGCTTGTTGACTCCTTTATTACTATCTCTTAAATTCGGAAGGTTGGGGGGGGGGGGAGAGCTCCTCCCTGGCCTACCCACATGACGTCCTTGCCTGCCTGGTGGTGCTTGGTGAATGGAGAGATACTAACGTTTCTGATTGAAATTTTTAATCAGCCTTACATTCTAGCATTGTAATCCATTGACTTTGCATTGCAGTGTTGTGAAGCCCAAGGCTCTGGAATGCCTACAGAAAGAAGTCAAAGACTGTAGCAATGCTGCCAAACTGGTCGCTATAGCCAATGAGAGTGGAGGGGCGTGTGAGGGAAACCATTTGAACCCATTCTTTAAATTACGTAAGTCCAACTTTTAGTTTTAAGGCACTCCGTTATAAAATCTGGCCACCAGTCGCCGAGACTTCCGGTCAAATGATTAGGAATACAATATTTTTGAACGTTCGTTCGTACCCGTTTGGTCATGGCTAGTTATAATTCAATGTATCGTGGCAGATACCTAATATATGGGCAATCAAATACCAGTTGTGCGATAAGATAATATGGGCAACAATATACTTGTTATGCGAGAAAATATGGGCAGTCATGTACCAGTTGTGCGATAAGATCTGGATGGGCAATCAGGTATCAGATAAAATCTGGGCAGTCAGATACTCTCACTCTCATACAACATAGTTAACATTACATAGTGATAGTGATAGCATGTGTTCATGTGTGCGAAAAGATATGGCACCAGTTAAGCGAAGGGAACATAGCTAACACAAGAAAGCCAGAAAATCATTTTCGCACTCATTATTAAATTAAATTTAAAAGGGCTTGGAACACACAGTTACTTTTGATAGTAGTCATAGTATAGTAATACTAAGTTACTAAGTTAGTATTATTAAGGCTTAATACTTAATAATCATAATCAGGGCTGCATAAGTAATAAGTTAAAAGGTAAATTTTAAAAAAAATTACTGATAATTCTTTCAAGTATTAAAAAAAAAGTTAAGGACATAAACTATGAAGCTAAAAATAGAACTTAGCTCACTAGTAGCAGGAATATTATTAGTAGGCTTTTTCTTGGTCTGAGGCTGAGCCATTTTGTTGTCATGTATTTTCATTCAAGTAATTCAATCTGTCAAATATGGTTGTCCTGTATTTTCATTCAAGCTGCCACATAATCATATAGCTGTCCTGTATTTATTAGAAAGTGCCTAAATTTAGCGAATTCTAATTTTAACATGGGCGTCACAGTAGTTCATTAATTTAGTACTTTATGACGTGTTCCCCAATTTGTATTCAGTAGGCTGGTGCACACAATGAATGTTTATGGTCAGATAAAAAGAAAATTTGATTGATAATTTGGCACCTTTTAAACTTGTCTACTGGTCCCTGGTCCAATTTTGAAACTTGTCGAAAGGTCCCTGGTCCAAGTTTCAAACTTGAACAGCAGACTTAAAAGTTTGAGACATGCTGTCCTGTGCCCACGCCTGGAGTTGGAGCCGTAGCATGGGCTCTGCAAATCCTGCAGGGAACCTCTTATATTTAAGGTGCAAAACGTAGTCATGGGGAAAATTTTTGAACTATTTAATTTTGAATGCAGGGCTCAAAACCGAAAAGAAGCCTCCCAAAGTCATGTGACGACTCCACCTAAGCCCTAAAACTTATTGATGAAAATCCATTGAGTATTTCTTTAATAATTATTTCAGTTTTATTTAAATTTTTGTTGTTATTTTTGTCATTTTTAAAAAATATCCCTTTAAATCAGATATTATTGACAAGTTGAAGACCGTGAACGGGGACTCTCCATGTTTCACCATAGCAGACAATTCCTACAAGTGTTACGTGATGGCTGGGGACGTCATCATGAAGAGTGGGGTGGACACTGTGGACATTAGCAAGTTTCACCGAGTAGCTGATAAGTAAGTGAATGGTATTCATTATGAGCATCGGGTTTGGATACCAGCAGTCAAAAATGACTAGGCCTTAACCTTAGGCTCATGTCGCTGAGGAGTAATGCTGGGATGACTGTGCAATAATGTAATATTGGTATCTATATTATTTAGGGTTAAAGTATAATAATGTAATTGTTTTTTATCATTTTTTTAATAAGATAGCTTAGTAAACCAATTGATTGAACCATCCATCCTTGATATTTAACTAGAAATATCCTGTGTCATTCTTTCAGGTTTTTTGGCATTATCTGGGACTGCCTTATAGATGTGTTCAAGACCAACTCCAGCATGTGTGAACAGTGGCAGCTACCCATGCTGTTGGCCCTGCAGAAGACAGCCATGCCATCACTGTTTGGGATGAGGCTCAACAACTATCAGGTGGCCAAGTTGGAGGTACGTAGGGCTGCTTTACTGGCACGCTGTACGTTCAGTACTGGCAGGCTGTATGTTCAGTACCGGCAGGCTGTATGTTCAGTACTGACAGGCTGTATGTTGAGCACAAACTGCTATACATGCTCAATGTTTGTAGGATGCAATCACATTTTTCTCAGGATTCACTTCACAAAATCATCAAAACTTGAATTTATTGCCACAATTCAAAGTGTCTACAAAATGTTTCAAGTTAAAGCGGTACCATCAACAACCGCTGGAGACCCTTTACAACAACTAACCACTTGAACATGTTAAATTAAAACAGGAATACTTAACCTACTTCAGCATTGTCTGTTTGTCTTTTAGGCTACCGAAGGTGTGGCCAACTGAAAGCAACAAAGAGTTATTGTTGCAAGCATGACTCACTGTTAAATCTCATATTTGAAAAAAAACAAAATGTCCAGCCGTATTTTTGTATAACTGATTTAACACGTTGATACTTACCGTGACGGTTTTGCAAATCTAATATGTTTTGGTTCTTAGAAGAAACAATATGTATCCAAGGACTGAGAAAAACAGTATGCAAAGAAAATGACACCAAAGCTAGTGATACTAACAATATTTAATATAATATATTTCATAAAAATTCAAATTTGAATATGAAAAAAACAACAACTTTAAGCAAGTATAAAAGGGCACACTCCTCAAGACACTTATTAATTTACACACACACAATTATATAACGTCTCGTATAGCAAAAATCCTTCTCTTGCTCTGTTTCACTATGTCTCCGAACGTTCTAGGAAAGAAATTATAGAAATTTCGTCTTCTAATGACATTCTTTAGAACAAAGGGAATGCATTAGAACATGAACAACCTTTTCCCAATCAAGGGTGGTGAGGATATGGATTGACACAACATATTTCCTCAGTGAGATCAATATCAAGGCCATATTAAAAATAAAAAATTGGTTGTGGCTAAAAATAGCTCTTCATACATGCTATACTAGTACTAGGCTATACTGTATGTAACTTTTGATTTGTTTTGACACAGCTGGAAGATTCTTTTGTGATCCCCACAACCACCCCCTCTGTCATAGAAGATTGCAAGAAAGGGACATATTTCATACTGCTCAAAGCTTTGTTAGACAAACCAGTGGCTGAATCAGGAGACTTAGTTCTTGAAATTAACACGAATGAGGATGGAAAGGTGAGTAGGTAGAAAACATTGGTAGGGGAATGGACAGATGAGTTGGTTATTGTCTTTGGTGAGGGAGTGGTCGGGTGAGTGGGTAGTGGATATTTGTTGGGGGATGGTCCGTTGGGTAGTGGACATTGGTTAGGGGATGGTCAGGTGAGCAGGTAATGGACAATGATGAGGAGGATGGTCAGGTGAGTAGTGGACATTTAAAAGGATGAGCAGGTAGCAAAGATCGATATGGGGATGGTCAGGTGAGTTGGTAATGGACATTGATAATTTGCATCGTGGTTTGGGTATCACTTTTGGAGCCACTTTTTACATAAGTAAAACACTCACATGTGGAGTTTGTGAAGAGTTGTTTGGTTTAAGCTAAATCCATTACTGTCATAGTATTGAAGGTAAAGAATATCCCGCTAAATCCATTAGTGTCTTAGTATTGAAGGTAAAGAATATCCCGCTAAATCCATTACTGTCATAGTATTGAAGGTAAAGAATATCCAGCTAAATCCATTACTGTCATAGTATTGAAGGTAAAGAATATCCCGCTAAATCCATTAGTCTTTGTATTGAAGGTAAAGACTATCCCACTAAATCCATTAATGTCTTTGTGTTGAAGGTAAAGAATATCCCATTACCGTCTTAGTATTGAAGGCAAAGAATATCCCATTACCGTCTTAGTATTGAAGGCAATGAATATCCCAATCATGAACATAAAAAAACATGTTTGAAGAACTCTACCTGAACAAGATCATTAGTAAATGTCTGTGCTTTCAAGCGGGTTTCACCATGTAACATAATAAGACATTTATTACACATTTCATTGAATACATAATGAGACATTCATTAGAAAATATTACACAAATATCGTCTAAACAAGAGAGTTAATTGGATGTATGATACAATGTATCAGCATTGTGACATCTTGTCTGTTCTCTTCATTTGACCCAATCACATCTTTCAATTCAACAGCCTTCTATCACCCTGGCCAGCAACCCCAAGGACAACGAAGATTTTGCAGCGTTTGTTGACCTTGTGTCCAAGAAAGACCAGAGAAAGGAGAAAAAGAAAAAAGAGAAGGTAAAACGGATTTGGAGTTCTCTAGGACCAATCGTTGTGGGTTTGAGGGAAAGACCTTAAATCTAACTCTGACCAATCGTCGTGGGTTTGAGGGAAAGACCTTTAAACTAACTCTGATGATGCTTATAAACTCTCTAGGCTTATACTAAGTATTATTTGGAATGACATGGGACACACCACACCTAGCCTACCACGCTTGATTGGAAATAGACATTCAGTTGATGCATAAGTTTTGAAGCTGAAGTTGTTTTTGTTCCCTGGCTTCTGGTGACATTGTTTCATTGTGTTGTGTTGTTTTTGTTCCCTGGCTTCTGGTGACATTGTTTCATTGTGTTGTGTTGTTTTTGTTCCCTGGCTTCTGGTGACATTGTTTCATTGTGTTGTGTTGTTTTTGTTCCCTGGCTTCTGGTGACATTGTTTCATTGTGTTGTGTTGTTTTTGTTCCCTGGCTTCTGGTGACATTGTTTCATTGTGTTGTGTTGTTTTTTTTATTTAATTATTTTGGGTCCTGTTAACCTGACATTTAAATCCAGAAACTCGTTGAGAGTTTCAAATATTTGTAATACAGGTATTTAAACTAATGACGTCATCAAAACTACACCCATTGTGATTTAAAACCCATTTTATATTTGCCTTGTGATATAATTTATTGACTACAATTGCTACAAAGTAGTAGACCTAATCATGTCTTATTATTGAGTACAATCTAGTAGGCCTACAGCCATATCTTATAATATATTGTGTACACGGTATATATTTATGGTTTTATACTTGCATTGATTGTGATATAATTTATTTAGTTTCATTTGTATTTTCATGAGCAATCTGAATTCTTGAATGATATTAAAAATTGTGACTTCCTCCCTCCAAGTTTCCATTTCTCTATGTCTCTCTCTCTCTTTTACTCTGTATGTTCACTCTTCTACCCACATCTACTCTCTCTCTTCTTTCCACATCGACTTACCTTTGTTATTCTCTCATTTTATTCCCTTGTTTACTTGACTTATCACGCATCACATACAGGTTTTCATCATTTTTTTTTTTTTTTTAAATTGTATAGTATTGAACAATATTTATGCAAATATGACATCAGTTCTTATCATAGAACGTGGGTTGCATAACATACTTGATTATTTTTTGTTTAAAGAAATTACATTTTCTCCTATTGTGCATGCATAAGAAAGATTTCCATACTACACTACATAGGAAAGTATTTTTATAAAGTTGAAGAAATAGTTGTGTTGTAAAATGTCCCTACAATTAAATAGTTTCTGGTGAGATTTAGTCCAGAATCTCTATGTGCCATGTGTAAACTAGTTTCTGGTGAGATTTAGTCCAGAATCTATATGTGCCATGTGTAAACTAGTTTCAAGTGTGAGATTTAGTCCAGAATCTCTATGTGCCATGTGTAAACTAGTTTCAAGTGTGAGATTTAGTCCAGAATCTCTATGTGCCATGTGTAAACTAGTTTCAAGTGTGAGATTTAGTCCAGAATCTCTATGTGCCATGTGTAAACTAGTTTCAAGTGTGAGATTTAGTCCAGAATCTCTATGAGCCATGTGTAAACTAGTTTCAAGTGTGAGATTTAGTCCAGAATCACTATGTGCCATGTGTAAACTAGTTTCTGCTGAGATTTAGTCCAGAATCTTTATGTGCCATGTGTAAACTAGTTTCAGCTGAGATTTAGTCCAGAATCACTATGAGCCATGTTTGTTTATCCCATTATTTTATTTTCATTTGTTCAACTTATTTGCCCTCTTGATTTTTTTTTTTTTTTTACTTACTTAAGAAAAATTAACTGATAATTTTATCCAGATAAAATATAACTTTTTAACATGACTTACAATTTAAATGTAATGAAATTAAATCATTTCAAATATGTTTTTTACAAAACTTGTTTTGTCTGTTTTAAACTTGTTGAACTGTGAATCTCAAACTTGTTTATTCCATGATTGCCAAACTTGTTTAGTCTGTGATTGCCAAACTTGTTTAGTTTTTGATGTTCAAACTTGTTTAGTTTGTGATTGCCAAACTTTTTTAGTCTGTGATTGCCAACCTTGTTTTGTTTTGTTTGTGATTGCCAAACTTGTTTAGTCTGTGATTGCCAAACTTGTTTAGTCTGTGATTGCCAAACTTGTTTAGTTTGTGATTGCCAAACTTGTTTAGTTTTTGATTTTCAAACTTGTTTTGTTTGTGATTGCCAAACTTGTTTTGTTTGTGATTGCCAAACTTGTTTAGTCTGTGATTGCCAAACTTGTTTAGTCTGTGATTGCCAAACTTGTTTAGTTTGTGATTGCCAAACTTGTTTAGTTTTTGATTTTCAAACTTGTTTTGTTTGTGATTGCCAAACTTGTTTAGTCTGTGATTGCCAAACTTGTTTAGTCTGTGATTGCCAAACTTGTTTAGTCTGTGATTGCCAAACTTGTTTTGTTTTGTTTGTGATTGCCAAACTTGTTTAGTCTGTGATTGCCAGACGGTAGAGGTAATGGTAACTCGGGGAGTGCCCTGTGCATACCTGGGCTAGTGTTGCTTGTTTGGATGTGCGTGTCTCCACCAGCCATCGTGTGTCGTTGGTTCCTTGAGTTTCTCCCAGACCTCTGTCTTTTCCATCTTTCTGCCATCTTTTGGTCCACTTCCTTTTGAGTGGTCCCTCAGCAGGTACTTTATGGCAGTTACTGAGACCTCTGTCTGTGGATGACTTGCACCATTTCTAGCCAATTTGTCAGCCCTTTCATTTCCTTCTAGTTTTGAATGTCCTGTCATTCACTTCATTGTCACAGACTTCCTGTTAGTCATTCTAATTTTAGCAATGTTTCATAAAGTTTCCTGGAGCTTTCGGCTTGGAAAGCTACTTTGTGCTTGCTGCGTTGATCTTTAGTACCGGTATGTGAACATAATACTATGTCTGAGGTTGGGATATTTCCTCCTTGAACCCTTCAAGTAGTGCTGGACATCGATATGGATAGCTTTGATCTTGGCGTAAGAATATAAACTTCCTCAAGAGCCACCTAGCTGAATGCTTTGTGCTCGGTTAGGTAAATGCATTGATATGCCACATCCGGCTCTCCCTGGACCCACACACCCGTCTGTGAAGATGTGGATAGCGTTGGTTGGATAGGCTGATATCACTTCTTATTGATATGCCACATCCGGCTTTCCCTGGACCCAGGCACCCGTCTGTGAAGACGTGGAGATGGTTGGTTGGATAGGCTGATATCACTTCTTATTGATATGCCACATCCGGTTTTCCCTGGACCCACGCACCTGTCTGTGAAGACGTGGACAGCGTTGGTTGGATGGGCTAATATCACTTCTTGTGGACAGCGTTGGTTGGGTAGGCCATCACATCTTGTGGATAGCGTTGGTTGGGTAGGCTGATATCACTTCTTGTGGATAACGTTGGTTGGGTAGGCTGATATCACTGCTTGTGGACAGCGTTGGTTGGGTAGGCTGATATCACTTCTTGTGGACAGCGTTGGTTGGGTAGGCTGATATCACTTCTTGTGGACAGCGTTGGTTGGGTAGGCTGATATCACTTCTTGTCTATAGCGTTGGTTGGGTAGGCCATCACATCTTGTGGATAGCGGTGGTTGGGTAGGCTATCACTTCTTGTGGACAGCGTTGGTTGGGTAGGCTATCACTTCTTGTGGACAGCGCTGGTGGGGTAGGCTGATATCACTTAATATCACTTCTTGTGGACAGCGTTGGTTGGGTAGGCTGATATCACTTCTTGTCTATAGCGTTGGTTGGGTAGGCCATCACATCTTGTGGATAGCGTTGGTTGGGTAGGCTATCACTTCTTGTGGACAGCGTTGGTTGGGTAGGCTATCACTTCTTGTGGACAGCGTTGGTTGGGTAGGCTGATATCACTTCTTGGGCAGTTACCCTCTTAGTACCTGTTGCGGCGGGAGATTCGCAGCACAACTTTCTGGTAGGGGCTCGTTTAATAGTTGATAGGCCCGTGGTCCGCAACAGTACTAATCCTCAGCATGATCACTAGAAAATGTTCCTCTCAAATGTTTGTGCCACTCTAAGGAAAGACATTTTCTTTAGTCTGTCCTTGCTTACCCACCCTTTGATTAGGCTTTTGATCGCGTCGGATTCGTCTAGGGGCTGAACCTCCCAAGTGAGGTTAGGACGGCTCGCTCATGCCTTATTTCCAGCGGTTCCAAGTTTGCAAAGTTCTCAGAAGCGGCGATAGGGGAATTTTTAAATGTTCCATAGATTATGCTGCCTGTTTTTTTTATTAAATCAAGTTTGGCTTTCTTAACGCGCAGTCTACAGTCTATGACGAACCGTACAGCCCCGATGTTTAGAGATTTTATTATGTTTGCGTTTTCTCCCCATTTGGCGCTGGCCAGTTTGCCGCCATGAGTAGATCATCTCCATTGGTATGAAATTGTAACTTTTGGTCCAGTGCCGCTCCAAGATATTTTGGATTATCGACTTTTTGTAGATTTTGTTTGATGTCATCATATCCTCCAACCACTTCTCCTTTCTGTGACAAAAGGAACTGTGGAGAACTTGGCAGGAGTGGATAGCACTTGAACAACGGTCCACTTTTCTTGTGATCCTCTCTATGTACTTACATAATTTTTTTTTATGAGGCTTCTATATTTTTGGGAATGGTTTATTTTATAATTTAAGGACAGACAGAACTATTATGAAACAATGTCACTTACAAGTAGAAACCTTTGCTGTCATCAAATCTCTTTCACTAAAATACCTTAATTTATCCAACAGGAAATCAAAAACTTTGTCCAACGTATCGGAGCCACCCAGAAAAAAGTTAAAACAGAAAGAAAGCTTCCCCCCAGAGCCCAAAAATTCCCCAAGATGGATGACATCGGCATGATCAACTAGTTTCAAAATTAACTAGTTTCAAACAAGCCACAGCTCTGCTTTCTTTACCATGACGAATCTGTGGTCAGGGCATTTTCTATTAATCTAAAACTAGCCACAGCTTTGCTTTCTTTAGCACAGGGATTAACTTGCTCCACAGTGTCACAGCCCTTCTTCAGCTGTTTAAATCAGACGTGTGTCAAGCAGTGTAGCACCTGTAAAGTAGTGTAGCATCATGGATGTTTGCAAGATTTAGAAATGTAATCTTTGAAAATGTATTAAGACTCTAGCTACCAGGGGTCTATTGATGGTATGAAAAAATCTAGCTACTGGTACCTTAGGTCTATTGATGTATTATTAGAATCTAGCTACCTATTGATGTATTATTAGAATTTAGCTATCTATTGATGTATTATTAGAATCTAGCAACCTATTGATGTATTATTAGAATCTAGCTACCTATTGATGTATTATTAGAATCTAGCTACCTATTGATGTATTATTAGAATCTAGCTACCTATTTATGTATTATTAGAATCTAGCTACCTATTTATGTATTATTAGAATCTAGCTACCTATTGATGTATTATTAGAATCTAGCTACCTATTGATGTATTATTAGAATCTAGCTACCTATTGATGTATTTTCCAAACTATGTATAAAGTCTCATAAAATACATGCAGCTTTGTAATCATGTAATTTTATATGTTTAAAGAAATAGTCTGTATTTACTGGAAACAACATTTTTTCAAAGTCCAAGACAAGTAATAAAATATTTTAACAATTAGATTTTTTATTATATTGTTTTGTATTTGCTTTTGTGAAGTAAGTTTCTATTATCATCTTGTTGCTAACATTATATAGAGTCAAGAAATCCATTTGTCCTGTGCCATTATCATAACGTTAAACTGTATGCTAGCCTACCTTTACAACAGGTCAACTAGTCTATCTTTACTACAGGTTAGCTAGCCTACCTTTACCACAAGTCAACTAGTCTATCTTTACTACAGGTTAGCTAGCCTACCTTTACCACAGGTCAACTAGTCTATCTTTACTACAGGTTAGCTAGCCTACCTTTACCACAGGTCAACTAGTCTATCTTTACTACAGGTTAGCTAGCCTACCTTTACCACAGGTCAACTAGTCTATCTTTACTACAGGTTAGCTAGCCTACCTTTACCACAGGTCAACTAGTCTATCTTTACTACAGGTTAGCTAGCCTACCTTTACCACAGGTCAACTAGTCTATCTTTACTACAGGTTAGCTAGCTTACCTTTACTACAGGTCAACTAGTCTACCTTTACCACAGGTCAACTAGTCTATCTTTACTACAGGTTAGCTAGCCTACCTTTACCACAGGTCAACTAGTCTATCTTTACTACAGGTTAGCTAGCTTACCTTTACCACAGGTCAACTAGTATATCTTTACTACAGGTTAGCTAGCTTACCTTTACCACAGGTCAACTAGTCTATCTTTACTACAGGTTAGCTAGCTTACCTTTACTACAGGTCAAATAGTCTATCTTTACTGCAGGTTAGCTAGCCTACCTTTACCACAGGTCAACTAGTCTATCTTTACTACAGGTTAGCTAGCTTACCTTTACCACAGGTCAACTAGTCTATCTTTACTGCAGGTTAGCTAGCCTACCTTTACCACAGGTCAACTAGTCTATCTTTACTACAGGTTAGCTAGCCTACCTTTACCACAGGTCAACTAGTCTATCTTTACTACAGGTTAGCTAGCCTACTTTTACCACAGGTCAACTAGTCTATCTTTACTACAGGTTAGCTAGCCTACCTTTACCACAGGTCAACTAGTCTATCTTTACTACAGGTTAGCTAGCCTACCTTTACCACAGGTCAACTAGTCTATCTTTACTACAGGTTAGCTAGCTTACCTTTACTACAGGTCAACTAGTCTATCTTTACTACAGGTTAGCTAGCCTACCTTTACTACAGGTCAACTAGTCTATCTTTACTACAGGTTAGCTAGCTTACCTTTACTACAGGTCAACTAGTCTATTTTTACTACAGGTTAGATAGCCTACCTTTACCACAGGTCAACTAGTCTATCTTTACTACAGGTTAGCTAGCCTACCTTTACCATACATTAATGGTAAAATCAAGTAAATTATAGATCTTAAACTGAAAGCACATATCTATAACTACAGCACTATTGTTAGCATTACTTAAATGTTGTATGTTAGCATAACATCGGACAGGCTTAAAGTGAGATGAACCCGTAACGGCCTTAACATACAAAACAAAAGTTTAGTCCTTATTAAACACAGAAATAACTCATTTTAAAATATATGTGAACAAATTTATTCTTCATACATAATGTACATAATGATGATTACATTAGTTCATACCCAGCCATACATAATGTGCATGACATGATGACTACATTAGTTCATACCCAGCCATACATAATGTACATGACTACATTAGTTCATAACCCAGCTACCTACAAATCAATGTCATTTAATGGTATTTCTTTAACTCCATAACCCAAATACAGACTGTAATTACTTAATCTCATTCTTCTTCACCCCCCTTCCCCCATGACCTAAGTGTCAATTACATTGTTCATCAACCAAGCCATCCTGTTATGGTATACCTGAGTCCTAGCAGTCACATCCTGTTATGGTATACCTGAGTCCTAGCAGTGAGCAGTCCCATCCTGTTATGGTATACCTGAGTCCTAGCAGTCCCATCCTGTTATGGTATACCTGAGTCCTAGCAGTCCCATCCTGTTATGGTATACCTGAGTCCTAGCAGTCCCATCCTGTTATGGTACACCTGAGTCCTAGCAGTCCCATCCTGTTATGGTACTAAATCAATAATCTCTGCTTTGTCTTCACCACAAAGGGGAAATAATTCCAGGCCCCCTTGATTTAACTGCCATAATAAAGACTGCCAATTATGCTGTCTTCTGCTATTGTGTCCTTTGTTAGAAAACATTGACTAAACCTTATCTTCCTCTGTGTCATCATCTGGCCTTGGTATGACTCCTGTAGCCCTAGTTCCCTCAAGGTCTTTACTATGACTTCTATAAACCAAGTTCATGTCTCCTGTAGCCCTAGTTCCCTCAGGTCTTTACTATGACTTCTATAAACCAAGTTCATGTCTCCTGTAGCCCTAGTTCCCTCAGGTCTTTACTATGACTTGTATAAACCAAGTTCATGTCTCCTGTAGCCCTAGTTCCCTCAGGTCTTTACTATGACTTCTATAAACCAAGTTCATGTCTCCTGTAGCCCTAGTTCCCTCAGGTCTTTACTATGACTTCTATAAACCAAGTTCACATCTCCTGTAGCCCTACTTCCCTCAGGTGTCTACTATGACTTCTATAAACCAAGTTCATGACCTCTGTAGACCTAGTTTCTCCAGGTGACCTCAACTTCATCTGTACGATATCTGGGAAATGCATAAATGAATAAATAAAATGTGTAATCTCAACAACAAATAATGAATAGTTTAAATTTTTGACGAGACAGATAATGTCATTTAAAAAGTCTCTCTCTAAAGTGGTACCTTGACTTAAGAACTTTACTTCCTTACTGACTGGCTGGTATCTCAAACCTAATTACCTATTACATCATGTGGGAAATCAGTCTATTCTCAGATTATTTTTTTTGTTAAAAATCAAATTAAAAAAAACTATTCTCCCCCATATTAAGAAAATGCAAAGTAGCACATCAGGCGGTCGTAAGCACCATTTTAAGGCACTACATCTGAATTTTGTATTGTATACCATTATAAAAATTTATTTATCAAATATTTAGTTTTACATGACACATACATTCATAGTATGAAAATCACCATCCATTAAATTGTATAAAATGTTTTAATTCCTGTCGTCAGTTGTCATAACTGGCTTCCTTCTGATTGATTGGTGCGATGAATGTTTTGAGAACCTATCTAATGTTGTCTGCCTCTAATCATTTCCTAAGATCCTTGTAAAACAATTAATGACATTGTCTTTGAAGACATTGGTGGCTCTGGAAACAACTGCTTGACTTGAATGCCATTTGTTCACTAATTCTTCCAATTCATCTCACAGACAAAAAATTATAGTGTATGTACATACAGGACACATTTTATTATTTGATAAAATGTTTAAAAAAACTCTTCACTAACTGAATTGTTTGATTTCACAGATACCAAAATAGAAGAAATAAAAAAGCAAATATGTATGTGTAGCCTGCATCTCACACACCAATTGTTGCTTTGCATTCCAGATAAATGTTAAGTAGTAACAATAAACACCACATGTCTGGCACATGCACAAGCACAACGCATCATTGTTCATAACTGGAATCTAGATTTGTTTGTAGAGATTAACTTGGGGTATGAACAAAGTTCATATGTAGAAGGGCTCCTAATTTGAGGTACCAATGTAACATATTAAAGAAATCACAAACCCCCTGCACTAATCAAGTCCACACTGAATCATCTCAAAATGAAACATCATTAAGAAAATTCTGTCCGACTAATCAGAATTTATGGATTTATTAATAGATGCTATTTTTTTATGAATCTGAGCAAATAGAATTTAAAGTGTTCAAAATAGCACTGAAGTTTTTGTGTTGTACAAAAATAAATGGGACTTTTTTTAATGGAAATATTCCAAAATACAATAAAATTTCATTTATTTAGCCTTAGCTATGATTGGTAAATTAAAATAATTAGCGCTTTGATCAATGGCAATGAAAATTCTGCCATGGATAAAATGCATAAGGCAAGTGTGTACCTTTGTGTACATGAGGTTTCTTCTAGTGGTGTGACTGCACCACTCCTGTACATCTCCCAGCCCGCCTGTGCAATCATCGCTCCGTTGTCAATACAGAATCTGATGTAAAGAAGACAATAAAACATAAGTACTCCATTCGCAGCTGATTTGTTTGACATTACTGATCCATGACATCCAACATAAATGTAATTTCAACAAATTCCCTTCTAGAGATCAGGTAGTTTTATGACTATAAAATTTGTTTTGTTTCTTAATCTTTAAAATATGAATTTGCATTTTTAAAAGAATTTGAGTAAAGTAAGTTCAACACACCAAAGTCCCCCCAACATGTTCTTCACCTGTTTTGATTCATTTTTTACTTCCCCTGTATTGATTCATTTTTTACTTCCCCTGTATTGATTCATTTTTTACTTCCCCTGTATTGATTCATTTTTTACTTCCCCTGTATTGATTCATTTTTTACTTCCCCTCTTTTGATTCATTTTTTACTTCCCCTCTTTTGATTCATTTTTTACTTCCCCTCTTTTGATTCATTTTTTACTTCCCCTCTTTTGATTCATTTTTTACTTCCCCTCTTTTGATTCATTTTTTACTTCCCCTCTTTTGATTCATTTTTTACTTCCCCTCTTTTGATTCATTTTTTACTTCCCCTCTTTTGATTCATTTTTTACTTCCCCTCTTTTGATTCATTTTTTACTTCCCCTCTTTTGATTCATTTTTTACTTCCCCTCTTTTGATTCATTTTTTACTTCCCCTCTTTTGATTCATTTTTTACTTCCCCTCTTTTGATTCATTTTTTACTTCCCCTCTTTTGATTCATTTTTTACTTCCCCTCTTTTGATTCATTTTTTACTTCCCCTCTTTTGATTCATTTTTTACT